ACTACTACTACTACGACTACTACTACTACTACTACTACTACTACTACTACTACCACTACTACCACTACTACTATTGCAAATACCACGACGACTACCAATACTACTACTACTACTACTATTCGTACTACGACTGCTACTACAAGTGCAACTGCTTCTACTATTATTACTACTACTACTACGACTACTACTACTACTACTACTGCTGCTGCTGCTACTACTACTACTACTACTACTACTACTACTACTTCTACTACTGGTTCTACTACTACTACGACGACGACTACTACTACTGCTACAACTACAACTGCTACTACTACTAGCACTACTGCTGATGCTAAGACTAATAATAATGCGAGTGCGAGACTACTACTCCCCAAGCTACTCCTAATGCTACTACTACTTCTACTACATCTGCTCCCCCTAGAATGAAGTTATGTAGATTTGCCCTAACCTTTGTTGATGTCCATGGAGATTTCTGTGCGCTTTCAACTTTACGTCCAATCGCAAGCTGTGGAAGCACCCATTGCCTTTTGTATGAGCCACCCCTCACGTGCCACATGTATGTGTGTATTTGTACATATGCACATATGTATTTTTATATATATATATACACATATATGTCGCCGCGCCAGTTGTTCTCGACGCGCCCCAGTGGACGACGCCGACACCATGGCAAACCCACGGCAATCCCTACCGTGCGCTCTGGCCGCCTCTTTGGAAGGCTGGCCCGGATGCCCACCGGAGCACGTCTTCGCCAGAGAGGACCCGCAGCAAGCAAGAGGGCCCGCCGACTGACTGAGGACAACATCAGGAAAGTGTTTTGGTGGCGAGCCCGGGGGGGAAATGAGAAGGGGCGTGCCTTCTCAGATGGCTCCAAAGTCCCCCGGCCTTCTGAGAAGTTTTCGAAGCCTTCCATGGAGACGCAGAAAACCTCTCAGAACCCGCGAGGGCTTCTGAGAAGTCCTGCCCGCCGCCTTCTGAGAAAGCCTTCTCCTTCTCACTTCCTCCCCTCGCTCGCCGCCGAGTGTTGGGTGGTTGCGAGCAGAACCCGACTATGCAGTCTCCGTGAGCCTGGAACCAGCGGGCCGCGCACCATCAATTGAATCAGCGACCACTCGACGCAGCACAGGTAGGCAAAGCGCCGCAGCAGAGTGGAGCTGCGGGAGTCTGGCAGCGCCGACGCGAGCAGCAGTCGCCACATCGCCAAGTACACCTGGAGCCTCGCCTATGGGTGGCTGCGCAGCACTCGAGCCCACGCCGCTCGAGCTGCTCGCCTAACGCCGTGAGAGCGTCCACGGGTTCGCCCCACAGCTCCCAGGCAGGCGTCCACAGTGTGCACGGTGATGCCAGCATCACCGGCCACAACGCCAGAAAATCTCAGTCTTGAAGACGGGGTATCCAAACTGAAGAAAACTGCAGACACCGCCAAACCGGCCGAAACGCCGACATACCGATGCA